GTTTGTTGTAAAGCCACCCCATCTACAGTATTTTTGTTATAGCAGGCTGAACGGACTGAGACAAACGGCATGGGGACCACCCTGGCCCAAACGAAAAGTAGAGAGAGCTTTTGGAAGTCAACAGCCTCCTTCTTCCTCTCCCAGCTTCCCAGGCATGGCATCAGCAATGGGAAACAGTGCATAAGACTCAAGCTTCCTGACTCAAAAGATTCCAACAGGGACCGTGCAGATCCTCCAAGCCTCTGAGAGAAATGAAGATCCCCCTGAACACCCAACTCTGGCCAGGGACAGACTGACACAGGGCAGGACACGTGAGCACTTTGTGTTTTTGTGCCCAACTCCTCTTGCTGGTCCTGCCCATCTCTCCCGAAGCTTCTCCCTCAGGAAGCAGTCTATCTCTTTTGCTCAGAAAACTCCTTAGCTTATCTCTAACTCCAGTTGCCCACCGAGCCCGAGGGGAAAACCTTTCCAAAAAAGGCAATGATTGCATAGACCAAGATGCACCGAGGAGCTGAGCCTTTCCAGGACTAAGACAGAAGCTGAAGGAGAGAGGGAAGGGCGAGGCCAGGACACTGAGTGAGAACAGCAAGGCTGTCCTGTATCTTCAGGCTGCATCAGCGAAGACAGAGAAGGGTTTGAAGTTTGGAAGGGGGTTTCTTGACTTCATCTCCTAATGTGACAGTCCTTATTAGAAGAAGGTTGGAAGTGCTAAGCCTTGCTGACAGTCCTTATGGCTTGTATATGAATTTCCTTAGAGATATAAACACTAACAAACAAGAGCTGTCTCCATCCCTCCCGTTGTGGTTGCTGGCATCAGAGATCAGGAACGTAACAGGCCTGCTCCTCAGCCACATTCTCCTTGAAAGCCTTTTGTCCCAGAAGAATACCAACACAGTGACCTCAACATACTTGGGCAATATTCCCTCTCTTAATAATGCGGACTGAGTAGGTAGGAAGAATGTCTCCAGGTTACTCAGAAAGAAACTGGAAGGAGGGGTGAAGAATATGAAACCGGATGTTACACAAAAAGGGCAAAAATAACCGAGACACAGGGGAAGACTGAAGCAGAGAGGTGGGAGGTTCCGGCCAATGTGCTCTGTGAGCTGATTGCCTCCCTCTCCTGGGAGAGTGACACATGCTATTACTCCCATTCTTCATTCATCCCATTTTGGACACTGGGAAAGTACAGTGTGAATAATTGTCATTATCCACCTATTTCACAGGGTTGCTTGGGATAAAATAAGACTGTGGATGTGAAATGTTTTCAAAATATAAAAATCTCAATATAAGTCCAATATATTCAAGTCCTTTTGATATGATATAAACAAATAAATGCAAATAGAAGGTGATTCTTTTTTCTTTTGTTTTTTTAATCCTCACCCTGAGGATACATTTATTGATTTTTTTTTAGAGAGGAAGGCAGAAAGAGAGAGCTAGAGAGGATCATCAATTGGCTGCTTCCTGTAGGAGGCTCGATCAGGGATTGAATCGGAAACCTTTTGGTATATGGGATGATGCTCCAACCAACTAATCCATCCGGCCAGGGCAGAGAGTGACTCTTCTTTACTGCTACCATTATGCCATACTCTGTTCTGGGAGCACACGGCATACTATGTCCTGGTACTTACTTTTTTCCCCAGAGAGGTATTAAACATCCTCAACCCAAACAAATGTTGTTCTCTAGACCAATGTCCAGTGACAACAAGAAATCACTTGAATGTGCAAAGAAAAAAGTGTGGAGAAGACAAGAAGAAGGAGAGGAAAAGGAAAGCATTTTAGATCATGGTTATTAGTATTCATGTCCTATTATTTCCAGAGGGAGGAACACTTCTAATAGTAGACATTTTTTTTTAATAACAAGTTAGAGCAAAACTCTCAAAATAAACACTTATCCTCCAGATTTTAAAAAAAGAAAATGTAAAAAGAAAAAGAAAAGCAGCGGAGAAGTAAGCATGAAGTCATGTTAGAAACGAAAAAGAATTAAATAGTGGCCTAAGCCTTTCCCTCACAGATGCAAAGAAGAGAAAAAGAAGTGATTCCTCTGGGAGTCCTCTCCATGCTGGACCCAAAGCCCTTCTTCTCCATCCGTGGAAGTCAAGTAGAGTGTGAGCTGGTCTACCTTCTGATATGTCCTCAAGACAACATAAAAATTCCTAGTTTTTCCTTCCACCTTAGGGTTGCCCAATTTAGCAAATACTTGGGACATTCTTATACTAAAAATTATTTGTTGTTTAATTAAAATTTAACTGGGTGTCCTGTGTTTTATCTGGCAACTTCAACTCTGCCTCCACCCACCACAACCCCATGGTCGGCCCTTTCGATTAGCAGTATTTGCCAAACTTGCTATCATACCAACCCCTTCTGATGCAACAGGTACAGGGTTCATCCTGGGAGTCTTTATATTTAACAAATGCTCGAGGTAATTTTCACCACTGGTCAAGTTTGGCAGGGTTTAGATTGCAACATGGCGCCAATGAGGCCAAGAGCACAAGTTGAATCTCTGTGTGAGGCAGGCTTCTTTGCTAGGTTCACAGCTCACGGACAGCACACCACCCCAACCCATGTCAGTATCCAGCCCCCCCAAGAACACACCCTATGCAATGGGCCCAGAACTTTGCACTCACACACGTTGGCTATGGTTTCTTATAACTGGGCCAATGCTTGCTATACACACCCAGAGCTGCTGTCCTCTAGGACCAAGGGAACGCTGAGCCCAACCAGTTGTTTTTCTAGAGGCTGCCAATCCTGCCTACAGCAGCCAAGGCAGGGAAGGCAGAAGCAAAGTCTCTCCAGGGTCAACTAATCAACAAATCACATCCAAAATGGCTCACATGGCTCACTTTTGGCTTTTTAAGTCAGCAGCCAAGACACTTTTAGCAGTTAAATTCAGCCTGTGCAGGGGAAGCCCCCAGGAAAAAAAACAGCAGCCATGCTTGCTTTACAGCCTGGGATTCCCACCTCCCATTCCTCCCTGGCTGATGCGTTTTGTCCCACAGGGGGCTCCTCCGACACCCTGCACCCTTCCTCCCCTCCTCTCTTTCTTTCCCTCTCTTCCCCTTGTCCCTCTTGCTCAGAGAGAGTTGTAGCCCTTCACTAGACCTTTGACCTTTCCCACTTTCCTGTTTATACCCTGTTCTTCCAGAGACTATCTGATTGGACTTTCTTCCTCCCCTCATTGTCTTTGATCCTAGAGCACTCATTTTCTCTCTGATTCTATTCCCCCTTTCCTGGCTGGTCCTACCTTATGTTTTGATTCTACCCTGTACTTTCCCTGCCCTGCCCTCCCCTGGTTTCCCCATGGGACAAAATTCACCATGGTCATCCATTAAAAATTTGCATTTGTATCTCTGAAATCTGGTCATGAGACAGAGGGGCTTCATCTGGTCAGGTCAGGCCTCGGTTACATGAATTGTCCCTATGTAGTTCAAGAGAAGCGACAGACACTCTAAGAATATGTTTTCTTTTCCACTACAATCCTCTGGGCCACAGTAGTCTTCATTTTCTCTCACTTTGGGAGAAAAAGGAGGGAGAAAAACAGTAGGGCTTCTCCCCTGACTACACCTCTGCTCCAGCCAGCGGCAGGCTACTCATCCGCTAACGCACCCTCCCCATCAGCTTTCCCTTCGCCCACGATTCAGCGGCAGAATTCCCACCTCCTTGTAAGAGAAGCTTGATAATATCAGGATGGTGACCAAGGGAAGAAGGATATGGCAAATGCGAAAGGAGGAAACCACATCACACTCAGCAGCGGCTCAGCCCAGAGGGGTGGAGAACCTGCGGGGGTGGAGGGGAGGGGCTCACCCATCCCCCTCTGCACTCCCATTCCCAGCCCCAGGGAAAGTTTCATTTGCTAAATGAAGTCAATGTGGCCCAGATGTTGGGCAGCTGCCTCTGGAAGCAGTTCCCGTGCTGAACTGCACACAGGCCAAAGCAGTGTGATGAGCTGGCCTCTGCCTCTGGCGGTCCTCTCTGCAGGCACAAACACAGCCTCCCACTCCCACCCGCCCCCCAACCTACCCCTAGCCTGTCAGGGAAGTTGCCTTTTTAGGAAACTCAGCAGATTGGGAAGAGAAGCAGACAGAGAGACTGAGGGCCTGGGTTAGAGCAGTTGGAAAAACTGCGGAGCGCAGGAACCTGCTGCCCTGCAGCGAGGGCGCCTCCACTGGCTGAGACGCAGCCAGGCCAGGAGTTCAGGTAACCACCTGCCGGAGCCCAGCCAATGACTCAGCCTCGGGCTGTAATCACTGGAAACTCTCCAGCCACACTCACCCCCCTACCCCGCCCTGCCACTGCCACCACCAGGTCTTGCCAGCTCCACATTCCCATTCCAGCCACAAACACAGCCGTTCCCTCAGACACACTCATTCCCTAGGGCCCCAGACACAACAAACCCTCTGCCTAGACTCAGCTAACCCTTTCCTGTCACCCTCTGATCCTCATCAAATTCCCTCAATGACACCTAGAAGAGAGAAGGAAGGAGAAAAGGAAGAGAAAGAGAGAGAAAAATGTAGCCCAATAATTAGAGAGGAAAAGGAAAGAGAAAAGACCTGATGAAACATCCCCCCACACAAGGGCACGATCCTTGTTTATTTGCCTTTTAAAAATCCTGGCATGTCTATAAACCAGCCTCCCCTGGGACCCCATAACCCTCCCCTGCCTCTCCTTGGAGACCCAAGGCCCTGCTTCCCTAGGATATTCCACCCCAGCCAGAAGTAAGCGAAGTGTGGCAAAGGGTGGTAATGGCTGCCACAAGTCCAGGAGGGACAACCAAATTGGCCAAGGCCATGGGCCATACAGTGGACCCTGGATGGCATTCCCACCAGCAACATCTTCACATCATCTCACTTCAGCATCCATCAGTGGGAACGCTTCACCCTAGTTTTGTGCAGAAGGGACACGGGGCTTGTGTATTTAGGAGGGAGAAGCTGTCCCAGGGGTCTGTACCTTCACAAACGCAGGCAAGTCTGGGGAATAAGTAAGGTTAGGTGTCTGCTCCTTACCTCGTCTGCGCACCAGGCACACATGGGACTCACGGCCAGACATTGCTGGCAGGAGCTCACACCTCGTGTGGTGCAGATGTTTGGCCCTGCAACAGAGAGACAAAGCTATGAGCCCTGGTCTTACTTGACAAAGTAATGGGCCTGCCCCACCCTTCCCAGCTTTCCCAAATGCGCAGTTTACAGCTCTCAGATAGATACACACAAATACCCTAACCCGACCACAGACCTTTATCCAACACATGCTGTTTGATAAAACAGAGACTGCAGAAGGTTGGGAGAGACCCACCACTGGCCTCCATTAGTGAGACCATAGGAGCAAGGCCGAGCCATGGGCCCAAAGTGTCAGCTCGTAACTGACGGAAAGGCTTGAATTAACAACTAACACCTCCATTGTGCAAAGAAAAATCTGAGGTCCAGAGCGATGTGTCCTCTCTCCAAGTATTCCGATGATGTATTTGCAGTCTCTACAAAGGAGATCCAAAGCCCTGATGCCCTAACATTAATGTGCAGCCTAAATATTGGGGGGGAGGGGGTGACCATGGCAGTGTCCCTGTGGAATTCTAGAATTTTATCAGACTTTCCAATACATATATCTTAGGATCCCAAGCATAGACTGCTCCAGAAAGAACTGTAGAAATGTTAGAAAAGGCTGGCTGATATAAGCTGGAAGAAGATGGAATTTTGGAATTGGAAAGCCTGTATTTGAAATCTGAATGCTCTTCTTACTAGCCATGTCCTGATCTTGGGCAACTCAATTAACTTATGTGAAATGATAATATCTATCTCACAGGATTTGTGCAAGAATTCAGTGAGGTAAGGGAGAGGGACCTGGTACACTACAAAACACTACTCAAATGTGAACAGTCTTCATACTGTCAAAGGATAGAGAAAAATCAGGGGGGAGGAACAGGGACAATGAGAGGGACCAAAATAGCCCTGAAAAGTCCAGCCTGGAAGAAGACCTGAGGCTTTTGCTTGGACAGAAGCCCCCTCCCTCCATGCTTCCCCTCGCTCAGGTAAATCTGGCCTCAGGCTGGGGAGCCCTTCAGTGCTCCCCAGGAATGCCTTTTCCAATATAAGGGGCAAATGGGGAAGACCTATTGTTCCTCATGACCCAGTTATCCTGACAGTTCCTTTGTCCAGTTTTCTAGAGTGGCCCCTTTGCCCCTCCCTCTACCATGGCACCCCCTCCCCCATCAAAATCTTCCACCAAGGGCAGGTTCCCGGAATACAGTGGCTGAAATAGACTGACTTGTCAGAAGTCTGTGCCTGGGCCATGCTGATTCAATGAGCTGCTGCTCTGACGCCACCCCTCCCTCCTGAGCATGTGGAAGGGGCCTGGGCTTCTGTTTCCAGTCATTCCTGAGGCCTGTGTTCCTGTTCAGTCTCAGGGGCCCAGACCCAGCCCTGCTGGAGAAGCAGGGATCTTCAGCAGAACTTTGTCATTGTCCAAAACAAACATCTCCTACCACCCCTTTCCTCTCTGACAGTTTAGCCTTGGGGCGGGGGGCGCGAGGCGGGTGGACATGACTGGCCCTGTTCCTCACAGGGTGATTATAAGGATTCAATGAACGAATCTCTGCCACTCTGAGCGCAACAGCTGGCACACAGAAAGGGCTTAACAAATGCTTCTGCAGTTGCTGATATATTTGTTGTTGCTGTTTTATCCTGAGTCCTGAGCTGTTCAAGACAGGTGAATGTTTTACTTTCTTTTTTCCCCCCTGAAGATGCAGTTCTACAGGACAGCTGACTGTGCTTTGAACACAGGTGGCGAGGGCATGGAGCCAGGGAGCATCAGCCTGGGGAACAACGATCAGTGTCAGCCCTGGCTTCTAAATGGAGTTAGGAATGTTGGTGTTCAAGGAGGCCAACCTAGGAGGGATGGCCAAGAAAAGAAAGCCAGTTAGAAACAAGGGCAGCCAAGAAGTTTGCCTGGAAAGTCGAAGTAGGAGCCTCTGGTTTGGCACCTCAGCCCCATTCACAGGACCAGAAAAGAGACAAAAGGTGGGGGAAATGGAGAAAAAAGAAAAACAAGGAAGGGAGTTGGAACTAGTGGAAGTCATCATGCGTCAATGAGAGCTATTTTGAGGACGCGCTGTCCAATGAGACAGGATGTCAGCACACAGAAACAGGCCACGCTCGCGAGGCCAGGGGACTGAGGAGAGGGCTGTCGGAAGGAGAGGTGTTCGTGGGAAGGGAGGATGGTAAGTACGGCCAACGCTGCGGACATCTCGCTGACTGCCTGCCAGAGAGGGGTTCTGGCCTGCCACTGACCTTTGACTCATCATTAATTAGGTCCGTGGGGACAAAGGGGACTCAGGCAGTGCCTGGTCTTCCAGCGCAGTCACCTGGCTGGGTGAGTCATCCGAAAACAAAACATCTCATGCTAACTGTGGTACGGGTGCATGGTGGTTTCTCTAGAGCAAGTTGCTAAGAAAGATTATTTTATTTTTGTTCCTTCATTAAATGTAGCAGCAACTCAGTAACACAAGGAAGGGGAAGGAGACAGAAAGGTAGAGTTCAGGGTAACACAGACCTCTGTGCTCTGAGCAGAAAGCTCCAGTAAGCATTGCTCAAAGCAGTAGGGAATCCAAACTACCATGTAGGATACATCCTGATTTTATAGATTTAAGAATATTTTTTAAAGTGCATCAGAGCAGATTAAATATGATATTTAACATCAGAAGGCATTTGTGTATAATTTGCCTCCACCAATATTAAAATGTGTTATGGGTTGAACAATGTCCTCCAAAAAGATATGTTGAAGTCCTAACTCCCCCAGTACCTAGGATTGTGACCTTATTTGGAAACAGAGTCCTTGGAGATGTAATCAAAATAAAATCATTAGGGTAAGTCCTAATCCAATAAGACCGATGTCCTTATAAGAGGAAAGTACTACATGAAGACAGACACAAAGGAGGGAGAATGCCACACAGTGACAGAGGCAGGGACTGTTGTGCTTCAACTGGAAGGCAAGAAATGCCAAGGACCGCCGGCCACCAGCAGAAGGCAGGAAGATGCAACGGAGGATTCTCTCCAGAGTCTCAAAGGGAGCACGGCCCCGCTGACACCTTGATTTCAGGTTTTCAGGCTCCGAAGAGAAAAAATTTCTGTTGTCTTAAGCCACCCAGTTAGGGCAGCCCTAAGAATCTAATGCAAAGTGGAGCTGCATTTCCACGGCAAATATGACGTGATTTTGAGGAACATGGCCCTGAAATACTCTGCATGATTGAGAAAAGCCAGCCAGGAATGAACACTTTGCTATGGTTAATCCATCTGTGGACAATGGAAAAGGGATTAGTTTTACACTTTTCTACTCCTATACATCAATGGTGTCCGCATTCATTCATTCACTCAACAACTTTTTATTGAGCACCTAACTGTGCCCTGCACCCTCCTAGGCACTGGAGACACATTGGTGAACTAAACAAACCTCCTGCTTTTGTGGAGCTTAAATTTTGATGAGGAAGATGAAAACAAAAACAAACACAACAAAAGTACGGTTTTAAAAAGTACAGGGACAGGCTTCCCTGAAAATAAAGCAGCAAGAAGGAATAGGGGCATTGAGAGGAGGCAGTCTCCTTTAGAGAAAGGGGTCAGAAAAGACCTTTCTGAGTTGACATCCGAAAATGACATAGAGAAGATCACGGGAATATCTAGGGGATAAGCATTACAGGAAAAAAAACATGGCAAGAGCTAGATGGACCTCAGTCTCTTAAAGAAATAATAGGAAGAGACGGGGGGCGGGGAGGAGAGGCACAGAGAGGTGGTTGGAGAAGCAATCAGGGACCATAAGTAACATTAGGAAACTGTAGCCATGGTAGGGAGTGTGGCTTTCATTCTCCATGTGCTGGGAAGCCACCGGAGGAATCTGAGCAGAGGTGAGCAGAAAAAAGATCATCCTGGCTACTGAGAGGGAGCAAGACCAGAAAGAGACCAATTAGGAAGCTATTACAATAGTCCAAGCAACAGAAGGCAGAGGTTTGGATTTGGATGGTAGTGGTGTTGAAAGCGTGGTCAGACCCCAGATGCATTCTGGGACTCACTGATGAGTGGTACGTGGGGCATGGTGGAAAGATGGGAAGGATTTTGCCCTGAGCAAGTAAGTCCCCTTGGACAAAGTTCAGATGTTTTGATCGCTGGTTATACCCGTTCACTGACCCTGCGGCCAGTAGTAGACCCTGCCCTTGTAAGTGAAGCCAGGTCACGTCTGGTTACCATCTTTAACTGGATTAATTAGTTAGCCATGTGCCGAACACTCCAAAAAGCCCGTCCTCAGACAGAGTCCCGTCTTCTGTACGGTTGTGATAACACAAGCCCCTGGGAAACACTGAAGGGCAGGGGCCGTGAAACAATGACCACTCTCATCCTGTATGTAACAGTGGGAGTGGTGGAGAAAGCATACAGACCCTGGCAGGCAGGACAGGCCTAAAGCCACATTCACCATCTAAATCAGTGTGACCTCAGACACATCCCTTCATCTCTCTGGTGCTCTCTCAAAGGTCCAGTGACCCTTTGATTCTCAGGCACATCAAGAACGTACTGTTCTTGAACTTACTGTTATTCCCTAGTATGTAACAGGTCTAACCCAGCCACAGCAGCTGAGCACTGGAGACCCCACGCAGCGGCTTCCTCTCCCCCATGCTACCAAATATGGGCAGAATACTTATCTCATGAGTTGTTAGGTTTAAATGAGATAACTTGTGAAAGAACCACCCATAGTAAGTAAACCATAGTACGCTTTGGTTTTGTTCCTCCTTACCCTGATAGCAATCACTTCCTGCACTAGAAATGCCCATCCCACTCCCCTCTATCTCGGGGTCAGAGAGAAGAGGGGGCCCTTTGACTGTAATAGGATATAGGGAAGAAATCACTGGTCAGGAGACAGGAGCCCCCAGGGACAGACCCCACCAATGCCACTAAACTACTTGCCACTTCACCTCTCAGGGCCTCCCTTTTTGCTTCTCAATAAAACAAATGGTGTTCCAATAGATGACTTGCAAGGTGCTGCCAGCCCTGAAAGTTTATATTCCAACCAGAAAGCACCAAAAGGGTGACCAGCACTCTTGGAAGCCTAGTTTCCCAG